TAAACCAGGAGCCAAGGAACTTAGTTCCATGCAGTTATTACACCCACAAGTTTTGTCACTTTCAGCCAAGTCTTTAAACTGTGGTACCTGTCCTGCGTAACTTTTGAGGCTGCTTGAGAATTAAATTAGATCACAAACACACACACACCAAAAACCACTCTGAAAGTACAGGGCACTACAGAAAACTAAAATACTATTATAGTATTATACTGTGTTTATTTAACCCTGGATCAATATAGGTATCAATTCAGAAAACTCACACCAGATTGGGGATTGGTGGGAGAATGGGGAGGAGATGATGGTCAAAGGGTACAAAGTCTCCATTAGACAGGAGGAGTAAGTTATAAAGAGCTATTGTACAATATGGTTTCTATAGTCAATAATAATGTATTGTAGACTTGAAAATTGTAGCCAGTCACAGTGGCTCATGCCTATAATCCCAATTCTTTAGGAGGCTGAGACAGGAGGATCCCTTGAGGCCAGGAGTTCAAGACCAGCCTGGGCAGCAAGTCCCCAAGCAAGTCTCCATCTCTACAAAGAAAAAAAATTAAAATTAGCTGGGCAGTCCCAGATACTCAGGAGGCTAAGGTAGGAGGATCACTTGAGCCCAGGAACTTGAGGCTGCAGTGAGCTATGACTGTGCCACTGCACTCCAGCCTGTGCTACAGTGAGACCCCATCTTTAAAAAAAAAAGAAAAAAGAAAGAAAGAAAGAAAGAAAGAAAGAAAGAAAGAAAGAAAGAAAGAAAGAAAGAAAGAAAGAAAATTGCTGTGAGATTTTAAATGTTTTCACCACAAAAAAAGCTAACTAGGTGAAGTGATAGATGTTAATTAGCCTTACTTAATTATTCCAAATGTACACATATATTAAAATATCATGTTTTATACCATAAATGTTTTGTCCATTAAAAAGTAATACATTTTTTAAAATAAAAAAGGTTTAAAAAAATTTATACCAGAAAGAACAGAAAGAGACAAAGATGATGATTCTTATATTGCCTTCTAGTAATCAGGAAACATCTATTATCTAAGAAGAACAATATCTATCCCAAGAGTTGGCATCTCTGATCCCTCCCCTCAAATCTAATCAGTTCCCAAGTCTTTTCCACAACCCCTCACATCTGCCTCCTTCTTTCCTTTACCACTTCAAAATCCCAGTTTGGGCATTTATTACCTCACACCTGAGCTTCTAGAACAGCTTCTCACTGGCTCCACTCATGGCCTCTCTCTCTTTCTCAAAGTTCTCTGGCTCATATCTACTAGATCAATTTTCTTAAAATAGACCTGGTGTGGTGGCTCATGCCTGTAATTCCAGCACTTTGGGAGGCGAAGGTGGGCAGATGGCTTGAGCCCAGGAGTTCGAGACCAGCCTGGGTAACATGGCGAAACCCCATCTCTACAAAAAACAAAACAAAAAAAAACAAAAATTAGCCAGGCGTGATGGTGCGTGCCTGTAGTCCCAGCTACTGGGGAAGCTGAGGTGGGAGGATCGCCTGAGCCCAAGAGGCGGAGGTTGCAGTGAGCCGAGATTGTGCTACTGCACTCTAGCCTGAATGGCAGAGTGAGACTGTCTCAAAAAAAAAA